AAGCAAGTGCACAGGATAGCATTTTTTTTGGGGTAAAGTTTACTTTATTCTTTTTCCTCCATCTGCCCCACTCCAAATTTCTCCCAATAGGCATTTCTCCCAATCCAGAAAATCCTCCCCTTTAGGCTTCAAACAAAGACACCATTGTTTTGTCTTTTTTTTAATCAAGATGGGATTTGTTTGCCTTCCCATCCCTCACAATGCAGCCCCTGATGGCAGATAAGGCAGGAAGGCCTCCCAGTGGGCGGGGCCAACACCCGGCTTGGCCAACGCCCTCCCTCCCCACCTCCCCACCTCCCTCACCTCCACCTGAACTCTCAGCGTCTCTGAACTCAGAGAGCTTCCACAGGAAACGCCTGTGCCTTAAACCGGACCCTTTCTTCTAGCCTGCGCCCTAAAGTTATAACCAACGTGGGTTTACTTCCCCTGCCCCCAAGACCACCAGGAACCTCACAGATGTGTGTGCCCTTTTCAGTTGTATGGCTTCTCTTTTCTTCTCTGTAGCTTTTTTTATATTGTTAGAATTGGCCTTGACAAGAGGGCTGGCAAGTGGTGTGGTGGTTAAAGGTGCTAGATTCTCACGGTTCGAGTCTCCGACCTGGAGACTTGCTTTCTTGCTTTCTCACTTTCCCTTTATATCTCTCTCTCTGTCTCTGGTCAAATTAAATAATAATAATAACAAGTGGAATTAAATAAATAATTCTTTTAAAGTAGAAAGAATTGGCCTTGACAGAATAAGCATTCATTTTACAAATGAGAAAAATAAAATATCAGGAACCAGCAGTTGGTGTAATGGCTATGTCACTGGACTCCCACGTTTGAGTCCCGGACCTGGTGGCTTAAACTCACGCTGGGTGCGTGTGCATTCGTGCCCAAGATCCCACAAGGAGAATGGAGGAGAAGGGATTACAACATGACCATCCCCTCTGGGGGATGAATTCTTGCTTTCTGTCTCTCTGTCTCTTTGTCTTTCTGGCAAGCGCATGTGCCGTATAGCAAAAACCTCTCAAAAAAAATAAAGAAAGAAAAATAAAATACTTCCAAATAAAATGAAATACTAGAAAGGAGAGCCCAGAGCGGAGTAATCATATTGTCCACCTCACTATCTATGCCCCTATAGCTCTAATTCTCCCACAAAGGGTCCTGGGATTCCAGATAGGTCTTCAAATTGGTCATAGCTTGGTCTAACTAGACTATAAACAAATATACCCCTCACAGAACCCTCTGCTATATTGTATTAAGTGCTGATAATTTTTGTTTCTGGCCTAAATACAAAGACAGGACCAAATTCCCACTAAATTCTGTTCCTTTTTTTTTTAATTTCCTACCTTCCTTTCTCCCTCACTATCTTCCTTCCTTCCCTGCTTCCCCTGAAAAAAAAAAGGGACAGAAACCCTTGAAGGCTCTCCCCACACTGCAATCCCTCTTGCCAACCTTCCAGCTAGCCAGGATCCCAGCTGCACCCAGTGTGCTCAGGTCGACCCAAGATCCGAACCCTGGGCTTTCCCATGGCTCCAGCACCATCCGGGGGGCACCCTACCACCTGTGCCACTGCAGCTGGGCACCCCTGAACTCTAGTGAGGTCTTTTAGATTCAGGAAGTTGGTTCACACCAACTAAGACAATATCTGAGAACCCTGACTTCGTGCTCTTTGTACTGATTGTCCCTTTCGTGAGACTGGACCCATGGCAGGGCTGGCCTGCTCCTGCGGCTCACAGGATTCTTCTTTCTGTTTCTACCGGACTGTGTCAGTAAGCCCCTCACTCCTCTTTCTGGCCCATTATTACTTAGAGGTATTTTCTCTGTTGGAAAATAAGTCAGGGCAGGATGAGCAGGGCCAAGACATTTCCATTATTCTATTTGTTAATCACTTTGTGAGTTAAAATTATGATTACAATTTTTTCAAGCGGGGACCTGCAGATGGCATAATGGTTATGTCACTGGACTCCCATGTAGTCGACTGCGGTTTGAGGGTCAGATGTGGTGGCTTAAAGCACACCAGGCATGTGTGCATGTGTGCCAATATCCCAAGAGGAGAATGGAGAAGAAGGGATCGCGGCGTGACCATCTCCTCTGGTGGGTGATTTCTCATTTTCTGTCTCTCTGTCTCTGTCTTTCCAGTGAGTACCTGCGCCCTATACTAAAAATCTCTCTTAAAAAAACGGGTTTTTTTTGAAGTGGTCATCTGGGGCCAGGTGGTAATGTGGTAGTTAAGGCAGTAGGATCCCACATAGCTTAACTCATGATCCAAGTCCCAGACCTGGCAGAAACATGCCAGTGTGCATGCATTCACGTCCAAAATCCCTAAAAGGAGGGAGAAGTGAAGGGATTGTGGCATAGCCATCCCTGTGTATGATGTTTTGTCACTTTCCCTGTGTCTCTTTCTGTCTCTTTCTAGTAAGCATACATACTCTTTAGAAAAATTTTTTAAAGTCATCTGTAGGAACCAGCAGGTGGCATGGTGGTTCAGTTGCTGGACTCCCACATGGCTATCCATGATTCAAGTTCTGGACCTGGAAGCTTGCTTTCTCAATTCCCTTCTCTTTCATCTGTCTCTCTCTGTTCAACTAAAATCATAATGATATGGTGAATAAAATGAAATAAAATCATTATTTTTAAAAAAGTGATCTGTAGATTTCAAGAATTTAGTCAGTGCTGTCCTGTAGAAATGAAAGAGCAGGCCACTTGATACTTTACAATTTTCTGGTAGCTCCATTAAAACAAGAGGAAAGATAAGTAAAATTAATTCTTTTTTTTTGGTTGTTGTTGTTTTTAGTTTTTGCCATAGGGGCATGTGTGCTCACCAGAGAGAAACAGTAGGAGGGAAAGTGAGAAATCACCCCCCTCCCAAGGGATGGCCACACTACAATCACTTTTCCTTCATTCTCCTCCTGGGATTTTGGGCACACATGCCCAGCATAATTTTCTAGCTGCCAGGTCCGGAACTCAAACCACAGTCAGCCATGTGGGAGTCCAGCACCTTAACCACCACACTATATGCTGGCTCCCAGGTGAAATTAATTTTAATGACTTTTTTTTTTTAAGAGACGTATTTGCTATAGGGCACATGCACTCGACAGAGAGAGACAGAGAGACAGAAAGCAAGAAATGACTCCCCATGAAGTGGCCACGCCGCAATCCCTTCTCCTTCATTCTCCTCTCAGGAGTTTGGGCATGCACACACATGCGTCCTGCGTGAGTTTTAAGCTGCTGTGTTCAAAACTCAAACCACAGTCAACTATGTGGGAGTCCAGCAATGCAATCATTACGCCATCTGCTGGTCCCAATCACATATTTTGTTTAACTTGATATATCCAAAATATTACCATTTTAATGTGAAAACTTTTTTTTAGATTTATTTATTTACTTATTTATTATTATTTTAACATGAATTTTGTCAGAGAAAAACAGAGAGTAAGACTGAGAAAGCAAGCCTCCAGGTTTGAGACTCGAACCGCTTGTCAGCCACGTGGGAATTCCAGTGCCTCAACCACCACACCAGCTGCTGGTCCCTAAATGTGAAATTCTTAATAAAAATTGAGACTTCTGGGGCTGACAGGTATTGTGATGGTTAAGGGTGCTGGACTCCCACATGGTCAACCGTGATTCGAGTCCCCAACCTGGCAGCTTGCTTTCTCACTTTCCCTTTCTCTCTCTTTCTCTGTCTCTCATTTGGTCACGTTAAAAATAAATAAATAACATAATTCTTTAAAAAGAAATTGAGATTTTTAACTTTTTTTTTGTATTAAATCTTTGAAATCCAGTGTCTATTTTACATTCACGGTCCTCCTGGGCCAGTCCCCTATTACAGAGGGTAAGGGAGAAAGATCTCACAAGGCTGATCTGTGGCCTGTGGTTAAGGCACCTGGATCCCACAGGGTCAGCTGTGCAGTTTTGAGTCCCAGACCCAGCAGCTTGGAAAAACACTCCAGGTGCACGTGCATGCATGCCCCAAACCCCCAAAGAAGGCAGAAACGGAGGAACAGGGATTGCGGCGTGCCCACATCCCACAGGGTGCCTTCTTACCACCCCTACTCTGGTGAGCATGTATGTGCACACTCTGGCAAATTGTAAGAAGAACAAAAAGAGTGAGCGAGAGGGAACCAGCAGTTAGCGTAATGGCTATGTCGCAGGACTCCCACGTAGTCGACCGCAGTTCGTGTCCCGGACCCGGTGGCTTAAAACTCACGCCGGGCGCGTGTGCGTGCGTGCCCAAGATCCCGAGAGGAGAATGGAGGAGAAGGGATTGCGGCATGACCATCCCCCCTGGGGGGTGATTTCTCGCTTTCTGTCTCTATGTCTCTCTCTGTCTGTCTGGTGAGCGCACGCGCCCTACAGTGAAAATCTCTCAAAAAAAAAAAAAAAAGAGTGAGCAAGAGAGAAACACACTTGGCATGTGTGCATGGATGCCTCAAATCCCAAAAGGATGGACATGAAGGGATTGTGGCCTGACCATGCCCCATTGGGGGTGCTTTCTCCCTCCCCCCCACCAAGCACACAAGCCCTCTAGCAATTTTAAAAGAAATAACAAAAAAGACCACATATCTCAATCTGAACCAGCCACACTTCAGGGGTTCAGGAGCCACATGTGGCCCGTGGCTGCTCAAGGCTTTCCACAGCAGGATGTCTCCTAAGCCTTCCGTCCTGGGACAAACTGCATAAAACCCTTTGGAAAGTGTCAAGTAGAAGGTATTTTTATTGGGGAAGATATTTTAAGTGACTTTCAGTGCTCTCAGAAGAGTCACTAGAAGTATCGGCTCTGAGGAGCAGGGGATGGAGAAGCGCCGAGCTACTCACCAGGGCTCTGGGGAGTATTGGGCACCCCCTCCCTTGCTCACTCCATGAAAACAGGACATCCTGGCACCACCGAACACACGTGCTCACAGGCTTTTCTGCAGCCTGCACTGTCCCCCGCTTCCGACTAGGCTCTTGGGTGGAAAAGGAGTATGAACCCTGCCGGAAATGCACAGCCAAGGGTAAAGTGCACGCCCCTTCCTCACCTGTGTGAGTGCGGACATGCCTCTTCAGGTCGAAGGTGTCATTGAAGCCCTTGCCGCAGAAGGTGCACAGGTGCCTCTTCACCTGGTTGTGGCACTTGAGGTGACGGTTGAGCATGCGTTGCAGGCGGAAGGCCTTGCCGCACAGGTCACAGCTGTGAACCACCGAGTCGCTGCACGTGCCTGTGGTGAACTGGGAACAGAGAGAGGCCATGAGGGTCCCAGTGCAGCCAGCAGGGGGCCTACTTGAGGGGCTTACCAACCTAGGCCTGGCCTGGCTATGGCTTCTGCCATCTTAAAACTCCAAGGAGGAGGGACCAGCAGTTAGCGTAATGGCTATATCACTGGACTCCCACGGAGTCGACTATGGAATGAGTCCTGGACCTGGTGGCTTAAACTCACGCCGGGGCGTGTGTGTGCATGCCCAAGATCCCGAGAGGAGAATGGAGGAGAAGGGACTGTGGTGTGGCCATCCCCCCTGGGGTGATTTCTTGCTTTCTGTTTCTCTGTCTCTGTCTTTCTGACAAGCACATGTGCCCTATAGCAAAACCTCTCCAAAACAAACAAAGAAACAAACAAAATGCCAAGCAGGGACCAGCCAAGGCGATACAGGTGGTAGGATGCCACTGCACAAGGCTGGAGCTCCATGGAAGGCCCAGGTTCAGTTCCAGGCCAACCTAAAACAGCCTAGGTGTGATCTCATGTGTCTGTGATCCTAGCAAACTGGGAGGGTTGGGCAGGTGGGTCATGGCATGCAAAGATTCTGTCAAAAATACCTGTCTTGGGGCAGATGGTGTAGTGGTTACATCATTGGACTCTCAAGTGCCTGACCGCGATTCAAGTCCTAAAATGGAGGCTTAAAAATCTCACTGGGCACATGTGCATGCATGCCCAAGATCCCAAGAAGAGAATGGAGAAGAAAAGATTGTGGAGTGGCCATCTCACCCCAGGGGATGACTTCTCACTTTTCCTCTCTTTATCTCTGTCTCTCTCTGGCGAGCACCAGCAACCTATGGCAAAAATGGAGAGTTTTTGCTATAAGGCACATGTGTTTGCCAGAGGGTCAGAGAGAGACAGAGATAAAGAGAGGAAAAGTGAGAAGTCATCCCCTGGGGTGAGATGGCCACAGTCCCTTCTCCTCCATTCTCCTCTTAGGATTTTGGGCACACACACACATGCGCCTGGCATGTTTTAGGCTGCCGGATTTGGGCCTTAAGCCACCGTCGGTTACATGGGAGTCCAATGATGTAACCATTACGCCATCTGCTGGTCCCTGGCAAAAACCTCTTAAAAAAATACCTATCTTGGGGGCCGGCAGATGGCATGGTGGTTAAGGGCACTGGATTCCCACATGGTTCAAGTCCCAGACTTGGTGGCTTGCTTTTTTTCCTCTCTCTCTCAATAACTTACTCGCTCTGTCCCTCTCTGGTCAAATGTAAATATAAATAAATAAATCATTCTTTAGAAAGAAAAAGAGAGGAGGGAGGGAAGGAGGAATAAATAGAAAGTCCAATGTTTTGGATTTGAAACACCTGCCAGGTTCTGCCAATGTTTTTTCCATTTACTCTCCTGGGATTTTTAAGTTTTTTTTTTTTGTTTGTTTGTTTTGTTTTGTTTGTTTGGTTAGTGGGCAAGTGCGCTTATCAGAGGTTCAAAGAGGAAGGGAGAGAGCAAGACAGAGAAATCATCACCCAGGGGAATGGCCACGGCACAATCCCTTCTCTTCCATTCTCCCCCTCAGGATTTTGGCCATGCATACACAATCGCCCAGTGTAATTTTCAAGCTACTGGGTCCAGGACTCAAACCACACAGTTGGCAATGTGAGATCTAGTTACCTTAACCTCCATGCCGCCCGCTGGCCCCCCTTCTCCCCTTCTTTCTCAGACCAGATCTCTGGGTTCTAGCTGAGCACACTGCCTTATAACAGGTAGGCCACACAACAAGTAGGCTGATGACCCAGAAAGCTCGGCAAAGAGGGAGGAATGGTTCCTCCTGGCTGGAGCTCCAATGGCTGCCATGAGGAGGAAGTACATGCTGAGAATGAGGAGCAGAAAGGAGTCTAGAACCTGACGAGTTTGGAGCCTGTTGTAGACAGTCCACAAAGAAGCCACAATCCATTCCTTCTCCCTGTATATGCATGCTGCTCCACCGTCAAGAGATGGAAGGCCAGCAGGTGGCGTGGTGGTTAAGGTGGCTGGATCACACATGGCCCACTGAACAGGCCGAGTCCTAGACCTGGCAGCCAGGCACTCAGATGGGTACATGCCCGAAACGAAGGAGAAGAGATTGCAGTGTGGCCATCCCCTCGTGGGGTGAATTTTCTCTCTCTCTCTCTTTCTCTCCACCTAACCCCCCTGGTGAGTACATGTGCCCTATAGCAAAAACTGAAAATTAAAAAAAAAAAAAAAAAAAAAAAGGGAGGAGGAGATAGAGAATATTTCTCTTCCCTTCAATCTGAGCTGGGCTTCTGACCACTTGGACCAGTGGAATGCAGCAAAAAGATGTGTCAGTTTCAGGGCTTCAGAGCTCTTGCTGATTCTACTTCCTTCTCCTAAGTCAGTTGCGATGTGAGAAGTCTAAAGCAACCATGATGTGAGGAAGCCCAAGCTAGTGTGTGGGGATCCAGAGGCCACATGGAGGACTACTGAGGGGCTAGACACGAACCTTATCTCATCATTGGACCTCTTAGCCCAACTCAGGGCTGCTACCAGCTGTGTACGTGACTTCAGCTAACGCTACCCAGAGTAGACTGCGTGCGTGGTCGAGCCCTACGAAATTATGAACGGATAAAATGGTCATTCTGGGACCCGCAGGTGCCATGGTGGTTAAGGAACTGAACTCTCACATAGTCAGTTGGTTCAAGTCCTGGATCTGGTGGCTTGAAAATCTTGCTGTGCATGTGTGTGCATACCCAAAATCATGAGAGGAGAATGGAGAAGAGACTGTGGTGTGGCCATTCCCCTGGGAGTGATTTTTTCACATTCCCGCCCTCTCTCAGTCTGGCAAGCACATGCACTATATGGCAAAAACTTTAAACAAACAAAACAACAACAACAGCAAAAGGTCATTCCGAGGGCTGCTCAGTCAGTACTCCACGGTTTCATTATCAGCAAAAACTACAGCCAAGGCCTAGGGACAGCTGCACCCTCATGTAATGCAGCACTGTTCACACCAGCCAAGACAGGGGAGCAACCAGAGCGTCTATCAGCGGATGAATGGATACAGAAAATGTGGTGTACATACACAACGTAACATGACTCAGCCCCGGAAAAGGAGAAAATCTGGGCAAGCGCCATGCTGCAGTGGTTGTACTGCTCAGATCTCACACCATGACCTCCGTTCAAATCTGCTGGCTCAGGGACCAGCAGATGGCGTAATGGTTACATCACTGGACTCCAATGTAGACTGCGGTTCAAGTCCCAGACCCGGTGGCTTAAACTCATGCTGGGTGCGTGTGCATGCTTGCCTAAAATCCCCAGGGGAGAATGGAGGAGAAGGGACTGTGGCATGGCCATCCTTCCCAAGGAAGGTGACTTCTTGCTTTTTCTCTGCCTCTCTCTGTCTCTCTGGCAAGTGCATGCATCCTATAGCGAAAGTCTCTCTTTAAAAAACAAATTGCTGGCTCAGTCAACTGTAGGCACATGCGTGAGTGCCCAGGATCTGACACAGCAGAGCGTGAAGGAATGGGACCGCGGTGTGGCTGGACCCTGTGGAAGGTACTCCTCTCCCTCGCTGGCTTTCTCTGTACTTATCTCTCATGCACATGCGTGTGCCCACACATACTCCGTTGTGAATAAAGAGGAGGTAAAGATTAAAATCCTGTCATTTGAGGCAAGGTGGGTGAGCCAAGCACAGAAAGAGGAAAATCACATGTTCTCACTCACATGTAGAAACGAAGAGTTGTTCTCATCGGGACAGAGAGTGTAACAGTGATTACTAGAGACTGGGAAGGGTAAAGGGAAGGAGGATAGAGAAGTTGGCTAGCAAATACAAAATGACAGCTAGATAACAGTAAGCTCTAGTGTTCTATGGCACAGCAGGGTAACTATAGTTAGAAATAAGTGATTACTGGGCCAGCCGGTGGCATGGTGGTTAAGGTGGCTGGATCCCACTTGGCTGACGCGCAGTTTGAGTCCCAGACTAGGCAGCTTGAAAAACACTCCTGCCCCATATGCATGCCCATAATCCCAAAAGGAAGGACAGATGGAGAAGAGATTATGGTATAACCATTCCCCACTGTGTGTGCTTTCTCATGCTCTCTCTCTAGCAAGTGATCTTTCCATCCAGTATATATATATATATATATTTAAACTAAATAAATAAGTGATCATATATTATAAAATAGAAAAGAGAATTCTGAATGTTCCCAGTGCCATGTAATGGTAAATGTTTGAGATGATGGTTATGCTAATTACCCTGATTTGATCATTACACTTGTATTCACAAACTGAAAAATCACACTCTACCTCACATGTGTGCACAATTACTATATGTCGGTTAAACACACACACACACAAACAAATCCCAGTCTCTAGACTTCCCACTTCTCTCAACCTCATTTGCTGACCCTCCATAAGAAAACAATCAATAACCGTGTAACGACAAATACCAGATCTGATTGATCAAAGTCTTCCTAGGTACCAAATCAGATCCTTTAGAAGATGGATTCAATTCCTCTGCCAAAATTCTGTCTATACACATCCTAAAAAACCTATTTTCATACAAATGTCATTAACACAACAAGAGGTGGTTCAGGTCATCCCTGCAGCCTGGTGGTTAAGGAAAGCTGGATCTCACATGGCCAGCCATAGTTTGAGTTCCAGCCCTGATGGCTTGAAAAACACGCCAGGTATGTTTACGCATGTCCCAGTTGCCAATGGATGGAGAAATGGAGGAGAAGGAATTGTGCCATGGCCACACCCATGGGGGGTGCTCTCTCCTTCTCTCTGTCTCTCTCTGATGAGCACATGCAAATCTGGCAAATTTCCAAGAAAAAGAGAGAGAGAGGGAAGAGTTGGTCCTCCCTTGGCTCCACACTCTTTTGTCCTTGTTCTCCTCCTTCCAACCACCTGGGTATTGCCCTCCCCTGTGACCCAGCTCAGTGGCTCCGTCACCGATTTGGCCTTCTGCGAAGCTATGCCTACGTCCAGACTATGGACGGTTCTTGCTGGACCAGTGTCTCTGAGGC